GATAGAGAGTTGCGCTTGCAGGTGATCATGTTGGTTTGACATAGAGTTCTGATATAGAGTTGCCTGTGCGAGAGAGAGTTGTGCGACTAGGGTTATCACAGAATGGTGTGGTTATATCTGGATGTGCAACTAAAGACGACTACAATTGAGGGAACTGAGCGCAGTTGTGTGATTGCATTATGAGTCTCCGCGTGGCAGAGAGGAATGTAGAGGGAAGTGGTTGTAGCAGAGAAGTGGTATGCAACTAAATGCGCGGTTGAGAGGCGGGCGAAAAAGGTCGATTTGGCTGCTACCGGTGATCAGCGGTAGTGGTTAGCGGTTGGTCTACAATAGCCAGCTATAAAGATTGACCTAATCCTTTTAGAATGTTTCTTATCTATTTCGCGATAAAGGCCGAATGGGATTTGTAGCTAAAGCTATTGTTTCTTTAACCTAAACTTTGAAACCATCTATTGAATATTACAATTATATATATATATATGTATTCTGTAGGACGGAGAAAAATATAGACAATTAATTATAATTAATTATAAAGAATGTAATTAACTCTTATGCTCTTTAACCTAATTTGTCATCTTTTTAATAATTATTTTCAGAGCAGTTACAACTGTACATTCTCCCTAATTTTTTCCTATTATCCTAAGAGATTGTTACACAAATATCCACTTAAATATTGTAGTTCGTACACATAAAATCTAGAACATGAAGAGCAGTTAATCTGCAGCAATTATTGTGAAATTTTATCCTAATTTCCAAGTTTAAAAAACTACCTCCCTCCTTATCATCTTCTATCTTATCCCTCAACTAAATCATAGGCATACTTAAATACATAAAATGCAGAATTATTATACACAACACAACATATTAATATATGATCAGACACGATATAATATCTAAATATATAATTAAATTTCTCTTCCTCTTTTGAGCATCTTCTTGCTGTATACACCTTAATATCCCCTCCCCCCTCCAAATTGCATTTGTTATCAAGTGAAAAGAAAAAAACAATCTGCTTCGCAGGTCTTTCGATTCATGTATTTCAGGTGAGGAAAATCAGCAAGCTCTAACAAGAAGAGACCCAATGTATCAATACTTTATTTTGACTTCCCAATGTAAGCATCGCTCCTTCCATCACTTCTATTTGTGGCAATGCAGAAATTTTATTTATTTATCTTTTTTTGAAATAAAAATGTATTAGTATATTATCATGGTACTAAAAAAAAGAGGTAGCAACCTATTTACAAAAGATTTACAGTAGTTAGCATATCAATGACAATCCCAAAATCCTCCTCACTCATCATATCATGCCCAAACAAATTTGTCCCAAAATAATTAAAACACCTATCTCTTAATTTATACAATCCTACTTCATACAATCCTACTTCTTTCCCCTCAAATGCTCTTGCATTTATTTCCTTGCAAAGAACCCAAAAACCGGTCAATGGAACCAAAGCAGTAACGTTACCATTGATTTTAAGCCCATCACAAGCCCAAATTTCATCCCTAACATTCCCAGTCAACCCAATTAATCCCCAGCAGCCCATAAATTATACATCACAAACTATAGGCCACGGAGCACCATAAAAATAAGTGATTGCAAGTTTCTTCTGCACACATACAAAGGTAGCATCTATTAACAATAACCTGCCCCCTCCTTTTTAATTTGTCAATAGTGAGAATATTTTACCTGCTTACTTCCCAAGCAAAAAAGGCCACTTTAGGAGGAACTTTAGAATTCCAAATTTGCTTAAAAGGGGAATCCCAACTGTCATCCCCATCCCCACCAACCAGCATTCTGTAGTATGACTGGACAAAAAAATTGTCCCTTTTTTTCTAACTTCCAGAAGACCTGATCCGAGCCCTCTTTCACATTCTGCTTCTCCAAAAGAGCCAAAAGTTCTTCAAACTCTTGAATTTCCCAGTCATTTAAGTGTCTATTCCCTCTAACAGACCATTCGACACAATCATTGCAAATCCAATATGCATCAGCCATGGTACATTGATTTTGAATGGGCAATCCCAAAAATTCTGGGAAACCTGTTCTGCAGGCTGTCATCACCAACCCATTTGTCACATCATATATTTTATTCTTCATCGTCTTTCCACTTCATTGTGCTAAAATTGCAACTGTGCTTCTGCTCCCAAGTAGAAAGAGGCCAAGGAGATTTTTTCTTCTTTGGCAGTCAATTGATGGTGAAAAATCTGCTCACATTTTCCTAGCCACGGCAAAGGATCGTGACACCTGCCGAATCGAGAAAAATCCAGTTTTTTATAACGCGGCATAAGTAGGTGCTCTCGCACTGTTGGTCTGTGCACTGGGTAGCACGGTGCTGAATGCACAAAGGCATTAGGTTAGTATCGTGTAATGCGAGCAGGGAAGTCTGTTCATCCTCGCATGTGGTAAGGGTGTAAAGAAGAAATCTATGGGGAGATTCCACTAGTTTTTTCCAAAGAAGCATAACCAAATAAAGTATGTAAACTAAAAAATGCACTCAGTGGACTCAAACAATCGCCAAGAACATGGTCTGACACATTCGTAAGGGGGATGATAAGTGTGAGATATAAGTAGACTCATGGAGAACACACTTAATTTATCAAACACTCAAAAACAAGGAGAGTTACAACTCTCCTAATATATGTTGATGACATTATCGTAACAGGAGATTATGAGAAAGAAAAATTGATCCTAAAGCAATACTTAACAATATAATTTGAAATTAAGGAATTAGGTAAGTTGAAGTATTTCCTTGAAATTAGGTAAGTGGAAGTATTCAAAATCCAAGATCTTCATCTTTCATCAAAAATACATTCATGAAGAATCAAAAGATACAAACAAGTTAGCACGTAAACTAACTAGTACTTTCATTGATCTCAATCATAAATTGGAAGCGGTAGAAAATATATACTAGAAGATGAAGGGATATACCAAAATTAGTAGCGAGACTGATATACCTATCCCACATAAAACCAAATATCATCTATGCGTGTTATGAAATTCATGCATGGCCCTAAAGAAATTCGCTTACAGATAGCCTACAGAGTGCTGAATTATTTAAAAAGGTCACGTGAAAATTGGATCTTGTTTACAAAAAATGATAGGTTACTTCTATAAGTCTATATGAATGCAAATTATACAAAGTCAATAGTAGAGAAAAGATCTACCATATGTCATTGTACCTTTCTTGGGGGCAAACAAGTTACCTAAGAGAGTAAGAAACAAAATATAATTGCTATATCAAGAGTAGAATCAAAATTTTAAGAAATGACCTAAAGAGTATGTGAACTATTATGAGTAAAACGAATTTTAGAAGATCTAAAAATCATGTGGGAGAACCATATACGCCTATACTATGATGGCAATTAAGGTATTAGCATTGTACATAGTCCAAGACAACATAACCGAATCAACTATATTGAGTTCGATAGACACTTTATTAAAGAAAAACTCAATAGTGACCTAATATAGATTTTATACATGTCTACAAATTCACAGTTAACAGATGTGTTGACTAAATCTTAAGCAATCCAACATTTCAGATTATCATTAGCAAGCTAAGGATGAACAATATTTATTCCCCAGTTTGTGTAGAAGTGTTAAAAAGAGTATATTTTGTGTAAATTAGGTTAAAAGGTTATGGTAAATACACCTTATATAATTAATTGCCTATTTCTTTTTCTATCACAACCAAACCTATATATATAAGACTGTGATATTCAATGAAAAATATATTCTAATCATTCCTAACGAAAATCTTATCAATTAATGATATCGTTATGATTACTTAATTTCATAATTCATAAATCTGAATTGTATTAACTGGCAAGTGAGACAATTTTTTTTTTTTTTGGAGAAATTAATTCATAAATCTATGTTGTTCGTAATTACCATTCACTTGTAAGCATTTTTTTTCTATATGTAGATATAGATAATATCTTCTTTTCCTTATAATAATAATAATTGGGGCGGTTTCTTGGGGAAGACATGTATAAACAAGGAGGCATTAATGCTTAACAGTAGTTACTAGAGAACTACAAACAACAATCTCTCAAGCAATCATTCTAACTAAAGAAAAGCAGGAAAAGAAAAGGCAACCAATTGAGTTCCTAGCCAATGGATTAATGGGCAAGAACAGACTGGAGTATAAAGATTTTAACTTAGGTACTCACAACATCACCGCTCCATCTAACAGCAACATCAAGGGCTTCACCAACCACTCCACTGAATTTTGGCCTGAGTACTGATAACATACCATGGCCTCTTCTTTTTGGAAGATTAAGCTGAATTTCCGCCTGGAAAAACAAGAACTAATTATTCAGGATTTTAAGTCTAGATCAGAAGCAATTGCTTCCTACTATTAAATAAATAATCATCATCACTGCAATTGGAACTGAAGTATTAATAGCTAAATTGGCACTTCAAACACAATAGCTGGCAGAGGTTCCTCAACAAAATCACAAACAGTTGAGACTTTTGATAGATTTCAAAAAACCACCAGTACTGTTCAACAAAATCAAGAGAAATATATAAATAAATAATTTTAAGGAAGGTTGTGGGCTTGGATGGAGTTTGGATTTCAAAAGGGCTGCATAGGAATACCACCATTTCAATCTCCATGCCCTTTTTGTGATTGATTAGTGAGGGAAATAGGATGGCATTGGATGGAGAGGGAAGTTCAGCACACTCAACCAAAGAAATTGTTCCATATTTCCAAGTTTTGGGTAAGGGACAATTTGAATGTAAATGATGTGTCTATAAGGAACCTTATAGACCTTATAGGCCTTTATCAACTTCTAGATCTTGTAACATCTCTTATGCTTTTGTGTCTTTAAATTAAGTTTGTTCACAATAAAAGGAATAATGTTTTCTTTTACTGTATTTTCCTAATTGTTCTGTTAATAAATTGACTATTTTATACTAAGTTGTACATTCTCTTTCAAACCTATCTAATCTAGAATGTGGAACAAAGAAGGAAACATAGAGAAGAGGATTTAAAAAACCCAGGTGGACACATAAGCTTACTCTTTGTATTGTTCCCCGAAGTGAAGCAAGCTCCAATTCATCAAGTGGTAAATGGCGTACCTATAACAAATCATGAATGTGTAGTAAAGTTTAATAATCTAAACTTGCAAAACTCTTTTGATGTCAAAACCAGGAGAGAAGGAACTGATTCTACTTAATATATTCACCTACTAATCTCAAGATAAGAAAGAAGAGCCTATTCATCAATACTGAGACTCCTTAAAAGTGAAGATCTTTGGATACCTCTAAGGTAGCGGAATGTTGTGGTTGAAAACAAACATTAGCTCTTAGTTGCCCTTTTTGAAGAGAAAAGGATAATAATTTTCCATTTGATGAGCTCTCATGAGAGCTAGGCCCCAATGGCCCTACCAACTCCATTGCAAGACTTTCATCTGGCCTGCCTGTCGCATCCAACTAGACACCCACGAATTGTGGACGGTTAAAAATAAATTAGTAACAATTTATCAGGGTTAACTGCATAGATAATGATCTGTATTCAAAAAGGAAAAAAAAAAAAGAAATGTGGAAATACTTGAGAGAAATTAGATTTCACATCATAATAATTGACATGGTTATTTAATTTTTATGTTCAGTCCAATAATGAAAATAACAGCTGAGGCCCATGCTTTATGCTGCAAAGTATTGGTATGTCTTATACACTCAAGTAACGGTTAAACTTTTACTTTGGCAGATGAATGGGGCACAAATTTTCAATGAAGCTTCAGAAATTGCAGCACAAAAGAAGAAAAAGAAAAAAGTAGCAACCTTTCACTGAATGTTTATAATTTCCACATGCCAAGCCCCCCAAAAAAATACATGCTTAATCAAGAATTTTTGTTCTGTGGGAGAAATAAGATGGCAGCGCATGCCTTTCCAAAACTCTTTGATGGTCATGTATCTTGTGTCTTGGAACTTTTCTTCTTCAGATATCCTACCTTTTCACTTTACTAGACTCCTTTTCATCCACCTCTAGTACCAGTCATAAAGTCTTGAGCTGAGACTCCTCAGCGGTCAAGACTTCTAATTCTTCTTACAGCTCCATATCCATAGTCCAAACAATCGCAACTCTTTCTTCTCTCTTTTCTGGAAAGCGATTCTGTTTGGACTACAATCTTAAATGAGGGTAATCCTAAAGTATCAACAAAGCATCACATTATTGCTTATGAATAAAACTATAAGATATTGTATCCTTATTCAAGTATTTCGGTAACCCTGTAATTGTGAATTGTGGTTTTTCTCTTTTTTCATGTTTTCTTAATCTAATCTACCATGCTACATCAGATACCTTCACACTAGTGCCTCTTAATAACCTGCACCATCTCATTGATCAAAGTAAAATCAGGAATCTCTGTCCTTGCTATGAAAGAATTCTTTTGAAATTACTTCAAGAATTTGACCCAATCTCATGCATAAAAGGACTACCAATAATAGTTAGGAGTTAACTGATAGGGACTTATCAAAGTTCAAATGACAAAGCCAATTCAGGTTTTATACGTAATTGCTAATTCATCTATTAAGCTTCTCTATCGAATTCTTCACGTACATTGCTCCTTAATAGAGCTTGTGCTGTATTGAACAATCACAACCACCATTTAAATAAGTATACTATGTTGGAGGGCTTCAAGCCATTACCTTGATCCGCTCACGTGAAATGGTCAGCAGTCCAGCCAATTGAGGTGCTACCATCAATTGATTTAGCTTGAGCCCCGAAATTGAAATCTCACCTACAAGACTTTCTGCATTTCCTTTATGTGCCAGTTGAACATCTGGCATTTCTTTATCAGGAACAACATCTTGTTCATTATTAACACAAGGCTCCAGAACCTGACCTTGAAATTTGATCTTTCCAGTTGCCTTCAAATGCACAGGTCTTGGTGAATCAAATGGATAAGAAGAGACCAAGTTGAAAAACTCAAAACCACGCATGCGTAGGTCCAACTCAATTCCTTCAACAGTAAATGGTATGGCAGTTCTTTTATGGAATTCTTCTTGGGATATCCAGTATTCATCATGATAAGATGTTTGGATTTTTGTGTAAAAATCAAAAGCAACTGAAGAAGAATTAACAGTGATATAATCGTGTGATATCACAATATCCCCTCGAGCATCACTAAATGACCCTTCAGCTTTTGGTGCAATCCACTTGATATCAAACCGCCTATGTTAAAATCAAGAAACCATAATCTAATTAATTTATAATTTCCACGAAAAAACAGAAAAATGACACAATATAAATCTTTAACGACAAGAACTCTTAGAAAGCCTACAAACTTACGGTCTCAAAAGGGACCCGGAAAGCTTTGTCTCTCCACTTAAATCACCTAATTTGAGGGGTATCAGATGAAGATAATCTGGTATGTACCGATGTAAAATCTTATCAAAGGAGAAATTTCCAGAGAAATTTACATCTAGTGCTGTATCATCCACCTCTCCCTGTAAAAGTAAAGCTGTTCGCATAAGAAAAAGAAAATCTTGAATGATGAAATCTTTCATTCGTTTAATTTCAGACATTAAGTGGCCACTCATGCAACTTAACTGCACTCCCTACATTGACCCCAAAGAAAACACTGCAACAACTTTTCTCCTTAAAGATTTGCCTCTACACAAAATGGAATTTTTAATCGAGAAAGAAAAGTAGCTAATAACATACCTCTGGGCAAATCCATGCATTCCCTGCACCCCTAATTTCTCCACCATCAACAAGTGTAGCTCTAATTCCATACAAGTCAGCAACCTATTGCATGCAAAATAGATTTTCCAAAAATTTAAAAGAAAACTGGTGTTCAAAAGGAGCTACAACTATCTCGATATGCACACAACGAAGAACTTACATAATTTTTTTTTTGAAATAAAAGAAGAGAAGATGTATTAATGTGAGGTGATAAGGGAGCAACATCCATTTACAAAAAAATTACATGTCAATTAGCATTTCTACCATAGAACCAAGATCTTTAAAACATTTTATATTATGCCATAAAACAGTAGAGGCAAAATAATGAAACTATTTATCTTTGATACTATTAAAATCTTGTTCAAGACCCTCAAAAGCCCTATTGAGCCGAAATAACGAAGAACTTACATTATTATCAGTGTTAAATGTGAAATTAGCAGAAAGATACGAAAATGGGACACGATCAAATGCTGCAACTGCACCAGCCTCTTTGCTTTTCAGAACTGCTTCAGATGCAATGGATGCAGGGACATCAGAAATAGAATGAGCAATCTTCCTAGATACCATTCCACTTCCCACAAATACAGGAGCATCCAATGGGCCTTGACAGTTAAAGACAGCAGTTACATAACCAGCCAACTGCAGTCAGGAGGAAGACAAAAATAGAAATAGCTAAATAGAAAAAATAGAGTGGTCAAGATGAGAACACTACAGTTTTTGTGTAAGTGACACATTACCATATACATACACAGAGGTATTATAGTACATGCACATATATACAATATAGATATAAACATATATATGTAGACCCTATACACACACACACATCTAGATGTATCTTGTCTAATGTGTATTTATGTGTATCTATGTAAATATATGTGAGTTGTGTTTACAAGAGTGTTATTTTTCAGGATGACTTCAATCAAACAAGGAACTGAAAACTCACTATAAGCAATAAAGATCAACTTAGCGACAATAGCGTTAAATGAGAGGGAAAATTGGAAATCGAATTATTAAGTATAGAATTAATCAAATACAGCCATGTATTACATACTGGGAACAAAAGAGGCTTCATCTTGAATGTTTTCATCAGAGCATTGACTTCAACAAAAGGAACCTGAAAAGAATTTACCATAGGAATCAGATGCAAGCAGCAGAACCACACAATTTCAAGCAGCCGCTTATAAAAGAGAACACATTGATTTGGGAAGATCAAGTACATTTCAGTTTTTCTTTTTGTTATGTACTTTCAAATCTAAATTGAACTTGAAACGCTACATATTTCCTATACAATATAACAGGGAACATAATGACAGGATCTAAACCGTAAAGGCAAACCAAAGATTAATCACTCTAAATGACAGGAACATTTTATCATAAAAACTTATTGTCTTAGAATTTATGAATAAAGAGGACAAAGGAACATGTCAATACATGCCAGCAAGTTCGAGTTTAAAGTGCAATTGTGTTATATTAAGTTGTTGACTGCAGATCTGACTTCTGAGTTAAGTCTGATGAACCATATTTGCTATAGCTGAAAACCATACATTAGAAACAACACAAAGAAATTCATTTTGAACAAAGGAACTATATTCATGGCATCCATTTCAACATTCACACTCAATTCAATGAAAATTGAACTCCAAATGCTCAATGGAATTTGAATTTTATCATTCCAATTCCACTTGCAATTTCATTTGAAATTGAACTTTTATTCTCTTAAATAGAACTTTTTTCCTTGCGAATTTAATTAACTATGAATTTCCAAATGAATTCTACAAAAATAATTCATATGTTCCAAACACAGCCTTAAGCAACTTTCTGTATTCTATTTCAATAAAGGCAATTCTAAAAAGCCCTGATTATCATCTAGGAGACTAACCTAAACCAATTCGGATAGGTTTTAGACTACAGTACTGCATGGTATATCCCTAAAAAAGTAATGACGGGCCCTGGGAACCAGTCCATCAACAACAAACGATGCTTCTGTCCTTGCATTGTGAAGAACCAAGGGCAAAACACACCAAGAAGGAAAGACCACGGTGCGAGCACTGCAAGAAGCCTGGACATACTTGTGACACTTGCTGGAATTTTCATGTAAAACCCCATGAGTGGAAGCGAAAAAGCAAGAGGGAGATATGCACAAGTCATACTACAACCGAGGAATAACCAAACCAATTCAGCAAGGAACAGTTGAAAATCATTCAAAATCTGAGTGCTGAAGCACAGATTTCTTTTACTCCAAATTCCAACCTCTCGGCAACAAGAAACGTCGCACACAAATGTATTTTTTTCAATAGCACTCAAAACTTATAAGATGGAAAAGAAAATTTATGGATAATTGATTCTGGAGCCTCCGATCGTATGATTGGTGATGTACCTTTTATATGAAATCTCACTACTTATCATGAAGACTTTACTATCAAGATAGCTGATGGGTTGGTCTCAAAAGTGATCGGTAGAGGACCTGTGGTTCTCCCATAAAGCTTGACCCTCAATACAGTTTCATTGGTTCCAAATCTAGGTTGCAATCTTTTCTCAGTTAGTCAACTTACAAGAAAAGAAATTGTGTCGCTACATTCACTTCTAAATGTTGTATTTTTCAGATTTGACTTACGGACGGATGATTGGCAATGCTTGACTTGCATTTGGAACTTTACATGCTCAATACAGCTGATTCTCATGATAATTTTCCAGCCAAAGGTAGAGTGTTTTTCTCCCTTGAGAATAAAGATAGTGAAATAATGTCGTGGCACTATTGATTACGTCATCCAAATATCTTGTACCTCAAGAAACTTTTTCCTGCGTTGTTTAATCACAACTCTATTGAATTTCAATAAGAATCTTATCAATTGTCCAAACATGTTCAAAATACATATTCTAACCAACAACATAAAGAATCAAATCTCTTTTCAGTGATTCGCAGTAATATTTGGGGGCCATACAGAGTCAAAACTTTAACTGGAGCAAAATGATTTGTAATATTCATAGATGATCACTCGCGTCTCACTTGGGCATTCCTCATGAAGGAAAAATTTGAGATACATAACTTGTTCAAGTTTTTTAATAAAATGGTGCAAACTCAATTCGACACAAAAATCTAAATCCTCCATACAAGTAATGCGAAAAATTATTTCAATTCGATTCTTGGGGAATCTGATCGAAGAAGGAATTGTCCACAAAAGTTCATGCATTGAAACCTCTCAACAAAATGGAATAGCTGAAAGGAAAAATCGACATTATTAGACATTACACGAGCTATCATGACCCAATCTCATGTTCCAAAATTTTTTTGGGAGGATATCATAATCATTGCAGCCTACTTAGTCAACCAAATGTCTTCCTATATCCTACGATTCCAGAAAATATGTCAAGTCTTCAAAAATTAGTATCCATCAGCACAACTCATGTCATCAATTCCTCCAAAGGTTTTTGGGTGTTCACCATTTGCTCATGTTCCTCAATAGTCTAGAAGTAAATTTGAACCCAAAGCCATAAAATGTATCTTCCTTGAATATGCATTAAACCAAAAAGGAAATAAATGTTACTCTCTGTTTACCAAGAAATTTTATCACTTTATGAATGTTACATTCTTTGAAATGAACCATTTTATTTTAAAATGATATTTAAAGGGACAATAGAAATATAGAAGAACATCCTTTTTGAGAATTCAGGAGCAACAACCAAACACAAAATCCCAAACCTATTGAGTCAAAAAATGCTCCAGCTCCATCTATTATTTCCCCATACACCACTTCTAGTCCAGAAGATCCCTCCCAAAGTATTTCCCCAAACAATGAGAAAGAACTCTTAATATACTCAAGAAGACAGAAAGCCAAGCACCTTTAGAAGAACAAATGCAATAAAGAACTAGTCATAAAGCTAGATCAGAGCCAATCTAGGAAGAGACACAATCAGGTAACACTTTTGGTAAGTTTATATTACAAGATCTCGATTCACCAATTGCTTAGAGGAAATGAGTTATGTCTTGTACTCATCATCCTATTTGCAACTTCATGTCTTATAAGATGTCACATGAATATTGTGTTTTTGCCACTAAATTCACAGAAATTCATATTCCTAATAGCATTGAAGAAGCCATGCAATACCATGAGGGGAAGTAAGCTATTACTGATGAACTCAGGAGAAAAATGGTACATGTGAACTCGTTGAACAACCTCTGGGAGAAAACCTATGGGGTGCAAGTAGATCTTCACTATTAAACACAATGCCAGTGGTACCATAGACTGATTCAAGGGGCATTTAGCTACTAAAAGCTATACTCAATCCTATGTGATTGACTACCAAAAATTATTTGCACTTGTTCCAAAACTTGACACTATTCGAGTTCTCTTGTTATTGGCAGTGAATTCTGATTGGGAGTTTCATCAGTTAGACATCAAGAATGGCTTTTTTAATGGAGACCTAAAAGAAGAAGGATACACGAGATCCCTAAAGGTCTCAAAGATCAGACTAATTCAAACAAGGTTTGTAAGCTGAAGAAATCTCTCTATGACTCAAGTAGTTGCCCAAAACATGTTGGGAGATTTCTAAGCCTGTACAAAAATTGGGATATGTCTAATGTCAATTAGATCATACTTATTGTTAAACATATTCTTGGTGGAAAGATATCTATTATAATTGTCTACATAAATGATATTATCAAAGTCAGAGACCTAGGAAACCTATAATACTTACTCGGAGTGGAAATTATAAGGACTCAATCAAGAACTATAGTTTCACGAAGAAAGTATGTCCTTGATTTACTTAAAAAAGTAGGAATGTCGGATTGTAAACATGCATATATTCTAATGGAAGCAATCACCAAAAGAAAGGGAGAAGGAAACAATATTCTATGTAACAAGTGAAAATATCAAAAGTTGGTTAAAAAACTCATCTACCTCTCACATACGCTACCATATATTGGCTTTACTGTTAGTGTGGCTAGTTATTCATGAATAATCCTAATAAAGAACATATGAATCGACTATATCATATTCTAAGGTATTTAAAAAAAACTCTTGGAGATTCAATCAACTATCAAAGTGTTTAGTGATGCAAATTGGGCAGAATCTGCTACTGATCGAAGATCCACTTCATGATATTAGACTTGCGGGAAAATTTGATTACCTGGCAAAGCAAAAAGCATATAGTGATTGCTTAGATATTACAAAAAGGAATGGAAGAACTCAAGTGAATGAAAGGGAGTCTATGTGACCCCAAAGCAGCTCTATGGCTCGTTTTAGGTATTACAAAAGTTTCTTATCTCAAAAGTCTAATTGGGTCCTTCTCTAGCTCTTTGAAATCTTTCATATGGCAAATGGGACATCATCTAAGTAAATAGCTTCCCTCTGTGTCTAACTGCCTTGAAAGTTTTCAGCTGGAAGCCACGAACCCGAAGAGGAAGAAAAGAACCAACCTACCATTCTTTCTAGCTTTGATTCTGAGTAACCTATATGACTAATTAGGGACAATCTCCTTAGAGAGACTAAAAGACTCATAAAGTCTTAATGTGTGATTCGTTCAATTTAAATAGTTAAAAAATTCACTTTCTTTCCAAAGATTTGTGAATTAAGCCATGACCTAGCAACCAGAGGCCCGATAGAACCTCCTTTTATGCCCACGTTTGAGTACTCCTCAATAAAGACAGAAGGCCTTCAACTCAAGATTTCAATCCTTTTTTTCTTTCCTTCCCCCATTCAATAGCTAAGTCAAGCAGTCAAGCAGTAGAGGAGAAAGCAAGCAGCTCCAATATGCACTAAAGTCTCTTGTCGCCTTCTAAATTCTAACTAAATTCTAGTAAGTATCATTTTTATTGAGATAAAAAGAGATAGACTATAAACGACATCTTTTATGTCAATGAGACCAACGAAATATTAAATGAATGAAATTGGGGTATAGATGGAATGTAATTATAATAAAATATAGCCACTTTGAATAGAATATGACATTAATCGTTTTTCTCGAATCACTCAAGTATGATGGATCAAGGGGTTGATGGAAAGCTGCAAAGATGACAAAAAGAGGCGCTTAACTTTTTGGTAAAACAAAGAAAGAAGTGTGTTATACTATGTATTACGAAGGCTTAGCTCTAGCCCACTGGATACGTGAAGAAATGTAGTTAAAACACTTATTCAGCAAACTTAATGTTCAAACAAGTGATACCATCAATATGATATATGATAACCAAGCTGCTTGCCAAGAATACTCTTCATCATGACAAAATGAAACATGTGGGGATAGATAGGTACTTCATCAAGGAGAAGATAGAAGGGATATAATTAACATCTCTTAGATACCTAAAAATCAAAAGAGAGCAGATATTCCGAATAAGGCATTGCCAAAGGCAAAAATTGAAGATACGAAGCTTACTTGACATTTATAGTCCAAGCTTGAAGGAGAGTATTAAAAATCGAGTAATTATAGTTGTTATATCAAAAATATTTACTCCCTAATTTAGAAGATATGGCACCAGGGCTAACCAAATCTCTTTGATTTTGTCTATCATTTATTCTGGAAATTTTCTCACTAATTTGGAAGAGTTTTTGTGTGCAAATATGGTAACTTTTGTATTATAAATACAATCCTTGTATTATTATCAAAAGCAATGAGGAAAACAAACTTTTCATTCTTCAATTTCATGCAGAGATTGGACAGCTATTCTTTTTTGTGATTATGTAGCCTGTCTCTTGTTTGTTTAGTTTTTTAGGAGGATATCAAATCCTCCCAATTTTTATCTTCTTTCTGTTAATATATTTCCTTCTTCTATCATATAAAATTGTTTAGATGGATTTTTAGCTTATTAGAAATTAGAAACTTAGAGTTTCCTCTTTTCCAAACAACCTACAAAGTAGCTAAGGGGATTAAGAGAAATGAGCTTTCCCCTTCTCTTATAATCCAGCTACCTGCTAAGAAATCCCATCTATTACAGAGCCAATCATCACCCAATTCAGATACAAGAACTTGATGGCAATACATAAAGACAAGAAGAGAGGGGCCACCACAAGAGGTGGTCAAGAGATTATGCAGTTCTCTCTTGCACAAATAACAACCATTTACCAAGATCTTTACTCTATCCCTTTGATTATCAATGGTAAAAAATCTCCCCTTAACAGCCTCCCAAGTGAAAGAAGCAATTTTGAAGGCGCATTCAACTTTCTAATAGACTTCCAAGGAAATACTGGCTAAGCTGTGAGGAGATGAAGAGAGAGGTACAAGTAAAAGGATTTCACTGAAAAAGAACCACTAGAACTCAGCTTCCAGATTGGCATCATTCTGAAAGGAAGAAACACTGCACCTTGAGAGGCAATGAGGAAATCTACTATACTCGTCCACCTCTCGGTCATTGAGATTCTTGCTAACGTCCACGTCTGAAACCACCAGACAAATCAAAACCAGAATGAGGCCACTCAGTGAAGCCTTCTTTCTTCTAGAAGAGAACACGAAATGGAAGAACTTCTTCAAGATCCCCCTACCATACCACTCACCAGTCTAGAAACAAAAACTCTCCTACTCGACATAACCCTCAAATGAAAGCAGGAGTTCATATCATCCCAACCAGCTTCAATTCTCTTCCATAAGCCCATTCCATGAGGATCTCTTGAAGTTTTGACTCTCCAACCCATCTTCTCTAACCCATATTGTGCCATAATGACACCCCAACAAAGAGCCTGCAAAAACATAAATCTACAAGGTCATTCCCCAAGAAAGCTTTACAAATGGTACAAGGGATCTAATACCCAGACCATCTGCGAAAAGGTTGCTCAACAAACTCCAAAGCTGCTAAATGAAACTTTCTCTGCTTGTTAAAATCACCCAAAGGAAATTATATTTAGAGAGACTCAGGCTTCTTGTCCACAAAAGAAAGAATAGGGAACAAGCAAGGACAATAAATGAGCAAATTAGTCAATGTACTTTATATAGGTGCAAGCTATTCCTTGAATAAAAAGCACTGTTTCCACCCAACAAGTCTCCTCTCTAATTTCTTGTTTTGAGGTTTTATTAAATTATCTTGTCCTCTCTTTTGTCATTCTTGTTCTTCTTAATCTACCACTTCAAGCTATTATTCCCTAGGATCTTCACCTTAATCCCCTAAAATTACTCCTTTTCTTTCTCTGTCCTCTATTTTTCACCTCTATTGCTCTAATATATGTTCTATTCTGCACAAGCTAGCTTCAAACCCAACTTGTCTTACCTCTCCACTTGAGCCCCATAATTCACAACTCCTTCAAAACAATAATAACACTTAAAACAAAAACTGCCTACTCTGAACCAATGACCATTTTTATTTTAAGAGAATAACTAACAAAGTAGCAGCTCTACTATTCCATCCAGAAAATAATGTTATTCTCAAATTTGATAAATTGAATTATTGTCTCTGAAACACTGCTAAAACATCATCTCAACTCAGGAGGAATCTCACACTGTACCTGGCACATTAGATGAAACTCTCCTTCATCAGGATGAATGCCAAAATCTCCAGAAGCCTCTAAAGGAACATTGCCAAACCAACCACTAGCATTATGTAGGAAAATTCGCTGACCCCGGAAACACAAGCTGGCAGATATGTCCTGTAAAAATGGATAAATAGTACAGTGTATTATCTTCAAACTACTAGCACCAATAATAACTCACATTTCAGTTTTAATCTAATAGATTAAAAAGATTATGATTGCAAATACATCCGATGCAGAATGTACTAGCTCCAGATTATCTAAATAAATAAGAATACAAAACTATTACACTATTTAAAAGTAATATATATTTTTTTTTTAGTATTTCGTTTTTCTAGTTTTATTAGTAATAATATTTCTTGATCGTAATAGTATTAGTATTTAGAGATCTATTCCTATTTCGGAAAGTTTAGTTAGTAACTATCGAAAAAACTTTCTGTAATCCTACTTTTAAGAGAGGTTCACTTATTAGATAAATACTTTGGGAGTTTCTCAATTTTCTAGTTGTGTGATGCTTAAGACTTCTTAGATATGATAGCTAAATTTTATCTCTAAATAACTAAGTAGGCAAATTAACATAAAGCATCATATGAGGATCAATATAATCATAGGAAGAAAAAAAAAATTGAAATTCTGTAGTCTATTGGTGGTAACAACATATAACATTCAGCCTAAAATCAAAATGAACAGAGGAAAGCAAATAGGTGATAGAAATGTGAGAATAGAGGAAACCACTATCTGACTTGGAATCCATGGAAAGGTCTTAAAAAAGTAACAGTGTTTATTTTGGAGTATTAAGTATTATGTAGCACTTATTGTCAACTTATTCGCATCCTTTTTTTCATATTCTATCTTCCTTTAGTCTGTTAGATTACAAACAAATAATTATTATTTCTTATTAAGGTAGGTCTTGAGCTTCCAACCCATTGAAACTTCACAATCTTGTCTTGTTCTTGACCCATCTGTTGCCCATGGTTGAATGTCTTCACAATGTTATTGACTTTTCAGCATTTGGTTCTGATTCACATGCTAAGGATCATTATTCCATTTATACAAAAAGCATGCATGCAGTGGCTGGAGTCAGAAAATTACTTTAGGGGAAAGAACGATTTTTTCATTGAAGATAAATTGGGATAAGGAGCAAAACATCCATTAAATATTTGCATTACTTCTTTTATTTGCAAACCTCCATCAAAGACAAATTGATTTTTTCAAAAATTTATTTTAAATCTATACATTCCCTATATACAAACTTATAGTATTTGTATACACTTATACTTTTTCCATATACTTGCAAATATGATATTTAAACAGGAACCATTAATCATAATATTAATTAAACCACAGTATTTTTAACATTTTACAAATATATTTGCATTATTAGTTCTTTTTTAATGAGTTTAATAAGGGATTACAAGTCATGCTATACAATAAATCAGATAAACTAGTGGAGCTGTGGGGCCATGCCTCCTACCGCTCCTGATGATAATCCTTTTTTATAGCTTAAACATTTGGATAATTGGTGATCAAACTAATTATTTAATATTTAGCTTTACATCATCTCACAGGATAAAATGGAGTAATTTGTCAACCTTGGAATTAGGAATGAATTTAGAAATTTTAGGTATCACAACTACAAACAGAGATAGAAAACAAATAAATACCTTTTTTTATAAGAAAATGGAAGACCATTTTAACACAGCACCATAGGGGTGCAAACCAAATAAGAAAGGACTTTACAAAGCTATCAAAATGTCAATAAGGTCCTGCAGATCCTTAGAAGAAATAATAGAATGGCCCTCAATCAAAAAACACAGAGCTTGGAGCTACAAGTTTTTCAACCAATCAAAAGTAGTTTCTACACCCTAAAAAATCCTTGTATTCATTTCCTTCAAAATCACCTAAAAGATATAAGATATAAGATCTTCTTATCACTCGTTTTTTAAGATAAGAGAAAAAGATTTATTAGGACGAAAGAGAACAAATACAATGCATACCCAGAGGGTAAAGGAGATTCCCTAAAGAATCATTAAAAGAAAAAGAAAAAAAAAACAAAGTGATACAGCCCTATAAGCTACAAACAATAGCATCTCAACTACGATGAAGTGATGAAATACTAGTATTATGATAGTGTCCATGCGCTAAAGGCCAGATGATAACCAAAAAGGTAGCTCTGTCCCACAACTCATGAAAAAATGTGTGATAGTCCTTAAAGATTCAACGATTTTGAGAGAGCCATAAACACCACAACCTAGAAAAAATAGCCCCTTGCCAAAGAGGCTTGATATTCTTCTTGACCTCTTCTCCATGAATAAAATAGCATAGAAGAGTTTTCATATTTTTTTTGGGGGGGGAGGGGGGGATACCGCAGTTCACGCCAAAACACTGTCCAAGTTAGTCCAAATCTTCCAAATAGTGGCACAATGTAGAAGCAGATGAGAGTGAGCCTCCTCCTCACTGAAGCAGAAGCATATATTCAACTCTGTGTCATAACTCATGAAAAGACGTGTGATAGTCCTTAAAGACCCAACTATTTCAAGAGATCCGTAAACACCACAACCCAGAAACATAGCCCCTTGCCAAACAGGCTTGATATTCTTCTTACAAAAAGGCTTGAGTATCCTCTCTCTCCCCTCCTTTTCATAGTTGTAATGGAATCCCTCAATGGGCTATTGGTTAGGGCGAATGAGCGCTTGTTGCTGAGGGGCGTTCCCGTTGGTAGGGGTTATAATTGCACGGTGGTGACTCATCTATTCTTCGCTGATGACACTTTAATTTTTTGAAAACCTGATTGTAAAATCTACTACATTTGAGATGCATCCTTCTCTGTTTTCAAGTGAGTTTGGGGCTCAAAATAAACCTCAACAAATCTGAATTGGCGAGAATTTGAGACAGCAGTGATGCGGGTCCTTTTGCTAGAATTTTGGGCTGCAAAGAAGTAAAATTTCCTTTTAAGTATCTTGGTGTTCCATTGGGGGCAAAATATAAGGATCTCTCTCCTTCGGATCTGATTATTAATACATTTGAAAATAAACTTGCGGGTTGGAAAAGAGGTTTTTTATCAAAAGGTGGAAGATATACTCTCATCAAGAGCACCTTGACCAATTTACCAATCTATTATTTATCTACAATAACTATACCGGTGAAGGTGGTAAAAAGATTGGAAAGTATTCAATACCAATTTTTGTGGGATGATCGCTTAGAGGAATGCAAATATCATTTAATCAATTGGGATGATATCAAATTACCGCTTGATCTTGGGAGCTTGGGTGTGCGGTCTATAGTTAAATTAAATGAGGTCCTTCAAGGTAAATGGTTATGGAAGTATTAGGGGAAAGAAAAACGTCTATGGAGAAGGATTATTGAAGCTAGATGGGGTGAGCAGCTGCATAGAAATAGTGATGGCAGAATTAAACTTCCTCATGGGCGTGATTTGTGTTGGAAAATTTTAATGTTGAAGAATTCCCTTCACCAGTGTATTAACTGAAAAATTGATAGAAGCAATAGAATTAATTTTTGGGAGGATGATTGAATTCGCAATGGGAGTCTTAGGAGGAGATTTCCAAGAACTTTTAATATTGCCCAAACGACTATGGTGACAGTTGAGGTGTACAGGGTCTTAAATGGTAACATTGTCTGGTGTATTAAGGTAAAGCAGAATTTAAATGATTGGGAGGTTGATAAATTTGAAAACCTATTAAAGTGTCTTGATGCTTAGCAAATTTGTGACAGGGCCGATCAGGTTGTTTAGAAGTTGGAAAAGAATGGAAAATTTTCTATTTCTTCTTATTACAAATATTTATGTGATAAGGGAGCTGTGAACATATTGGATTTTCCAACAAAGCTAATCTGGAAGACAAAAATTCCACTTAGAATTTTTTTTTTTTTTTTTTTTTTTTTTTTTGCATGGGAGGCATGTTGGGAAAGAATTCTAACTATGGACAGATTGAAAATCATGCGGAGAATCATTGTTAACAGTTGCTACTGCTGTCTTAAGGCTGAGGAGACGTGTAACCACCTAATTTTAAGGTGTCCCACTACTTGTAATTTATGGTGTAAGATTTACAGTTTGTTAGGGATCAACTGGGTAATTTCGGAATTGGTCGGGAGGGAGATTTGGGCTTGGAATGGTTTTTATGTAAAAAGAGATATGAAAAACATTATTCCTTTAGCTGTTTTTTGGGTCATTTGGAAAGAGAGGAATAAGAGAGTTTTTGATAGTGTTGAGAATAGTTCTAATAGACTATTCGATAGATGGATATATTTATTTGGGTCGATTGTGCTTAGTCATGATATCATTAACGATATGGATTTTCAGGGTGTCATTGACACTTTAACTTCTATGTAAATACTTTTGTACATGGGTGGTACTATCGCTCTTCTGGTATCATGATTAATACATATTTTATAATTTTTATTTAAAAAAAAATTCTTCTTGACCTCTTCTCCATGAATAAAAGAGCATAAAAGACTTTCCACATTTGGGGGGGGTTTCGCAGTTCAAGCCGAAAACACTAACCAAGTTAGTCCAAATCTTTTCAATAGTGGCACAATGTAGAAACATATGAGAGTGAGCCTCCTCCTCCCTGAAGCACATAAAGTATATATTCGGATAAGGCTCAATGTGGTCAACAAACTTGAAACATATTATTAGCATTAAGCTTCAGAAGCAATTCAAGAGAACACCTTTACCTTTAACAGAACCAAGCTATCCGAATATCTTGGCAATGTGAAATTAGCTAAAAGAGGGCATTATCTGTAATGTGATCAAAGAAAGACTTAATGTTGACTACAATATTTTATTATTTAATTAATTGAGATTATATAATTAAAATTCTATTAAAATAGTAATTTTTTTATATATAGGTTAATAATTCTATAAATATCTCAGGTGTAATAATATAAAGGGTGTGCAAAAATCAAGTTTATATTTTTTTTTTAAAATCAACATGATATCAAAACCAAATAAAGTTATTTTAGGGTTCTAATTTTAAATTTTCCTTCAAACCTTAAAATAACATAATAGGATGAGTTAGTGCCTGTGTATCAAAGATCTACTCTCACCACCACTGATCTGTCTCACCACCGGCCTGCCGCACCTACTCCGGTGGTCCTTTCCGAGTGCGTGAGTCACACACCCCACCGAACAGGGAAGCGGGTGAGTCACACACCCCGCTGGACAAGGAAGTGTGTGAGTCACACACCCCGCTGGACAAGGAAGTGTGTGAGCCACACAGGCCGTTGGAAATCTTCTCCTCCAGCTTGAATCAACCTTATGGTGTGCGCACGAGGACCGACTTTATAGATTTGGTACATATTCCCCTTTATTGCACAAACCTGACCACATGGGGACAGCTTTTGGTGATCCAGCGCAAATTTGCTTCCTTCACGCACGAGCCGCTTTGACCGGCCTTCTCTAATCCTTTTTCCGGGACTTCCGCGCGTGTCTGCATCTGGTTTCACGATACTGGCGCCAATCCGGTTCTTCTGTGTCCAAGCTGCTCCGATCGACCTTCTCTGGTCCTTTTTCCAAGCATCACTGTCACTGCTGCCGTGTGCGCCACCACTTCTTTGCTAGACCAGTCTGTTTCCAGTCACTGTCTTTAAAGTTGCAATATATCTCTTCGAAACTTAGTTTGTAAGTTAGGTATATGTGATATCTTTACACCAACTTGGGAGGAGGTGTTAATTATAATATTTTATTATTTAATTAGTTGAGATAATATAATTAAAATTTTACCAAATAGTAATTTTTTTATCTGTACGTTGAGAATTCTATAAATATTTCAGGTGTAACAACATAAAGGGTATGAAAAAATAAAGTTTATATTTTTTTTCCAAATTCACCTACATGTATACAGATTTGATGGCTCAAGGACCCAAGTTCTATTATAAAGTAGAGGAAAGAGATGAATTGCTCCAAAAGTTCTAATAA